CCCCTTGGCTGCAAGTTCAAATGGGCCAGAAGCGAGGCTGCCTGGGTGGCTTACGTAACTCGGGCTGCAGTCACAGGGCGCTGTCCAGAACAAAGGGGCAGACCCCAGCCCCTCTCCTTGTCCAAAGTTCTCTGCCCCGCCCCCATCACTGCTCAGAAAACCCCTCCATTTCCCCTTGGCTGGGGGCCTTCCTCCCCATACGCAGCCCCAGGTGGCCTGCACGGCTGCCCCAGGCCCTCGGGCCTCCTCGCCTCTGCACTGGGGGCGGCGGCCGGGGGGGGGCTCGGACGCTGCTGGCTGCTTGGTATGAGTGGCAGGGGTTTAGTGGATGTCTCTTCACTTAAAGGGTTAGCCAGGGGATGTCCCAGCTGCACTGTGGTGGACTGGGCACGTGGAGAGTGGTGTTTCTGACATGACTGTGTCCCAGGGTCCCCGCTGCTCATGCTCGACACACGTTCTCATGAGTTCCAGACTCTGCCTGGTGCCAGGCCCTGAGGTGACCTTTGACCTCCCCAGGTGTGGCAGGGACCTCCCTGGGCGTGGAAGAACCCAGGAGCGGTCGGGGTGCTGTGGTACTGCTACCCGGAAAAGTCAGCAGAGCCGAGAATGATGCGACTTGGCCCCTCTGAGTGAGAGGTACGTGCCGCCTCGGAACCGCTCCCCACACCCAGCGCCCCTTGTGGGCAGTGGTCCCAGGCACACTTTCTGTGGTTGTAACGAAATGCCAGTGCTTTGCCAGGCATGGATCCCAGGATGCCTCCATGACAAGGGGACTGCCATCACCTCCATGGTGAGTGGTGCCAGTGCCAGCAGGCAGAGAGTGGTCGTGGGGCGGGGGCCCCGTGGCAGAGTGGTCAAGAAGGAGCCTCTGTGACATCGTTAGACCAGGGCCAGGAAACATCCCAACATGGCAGCCGAGGGTGGGCGACCTCAGAGGGACCTGCTTCAAGGCATCGGCTGGGTCAGGAGCCAGGTGGGAGTGGCTTGCAGAGCGAGGGGTCAGAAAACAGAATGGACGACTCTATGAACAACGTTTGGGAAAGAGAGGAGAGAAACAGGCATGTCCACGGGACGGGGACAGGAAAGCAAGGGGCGTGGAGGAGGCTTTGTTCCTGGAGAGGAGTGGGCATGTTTCAAAGCCATGGAGGACTGTGGGAGTTTATTCCAGATACACTCACATGTATTTAAGGAGTCTGTGTGTGTGTGTGCACACACACACACAAATGGCCCAGGTTACAAACAGCCTAGATGGCCAGGTTCAGGGGACTGGCGAAATGGATGACCCTGCTCATGCAGTAGAATTCTTACAGCCACCCAGCTGAAAACCCGTTCTAGAACCCAGGGCCATCTCCACAATTTATCAGGTGGTTTTACAAGGTACACAGCAGGGTGCACCAGTCTTCATGTTGAAAGCAGGAGGGGGGATGTTCTAGAGGTGACCCATTGCTCCCCCCCCCAAAAAAAAAAAAAAAAAAGAAAAAGAACCGCAAAGCGGTGACCCAGTGGTTACGGAAGTCACTCCAGCGTGGAGAGGTAGAGGGCAGAGTGGGCCGAGTCGTTTTCTTCCGCGGCAGTTTGGTACTGCTTGGTTTTTAAGCCATGCACGTGTACTGCTTTGTTTTGAGAGTATTTTTTTTTCTAAAGTGAATGGGCTGGATTCTGTGGAGAGAGAGATTAGTCAGGAAAAGGGGCGAGAAGGACCCACCTCCTGCCTGTCTCGCAAAGACCCCTTGGCCCCTTGTTACCGCAGTGGCCGAAAGCTGCCTGCAGCCAGGCCTGTTTTTCCTGATGGTTAGTCCTTGTGACTCCAATCATAGCTCTTTTTTTTTAGATTTATATATTTGTTTATTTGAGAGGCAGAGTTACAGAGAGAGAGAGAGAGGTCTTCCATCTGCTGGTTTAGTCCCCAGATGGCCACAACGGCCAGAGCTGAGCTGATCCGGAGCCAGGAGCCAGGAGCTTCTTCCAGGTCTCCCATGCGGGTGCAGGAGCCCAAGCACTTGGACCATATTCCACTGCTTTCCCGAGCTATAGCAGAGAGCTGGATCAGAAAAGGAGCAGCCAGGACTAGAACCGGTGCCTATATGGGATGCTGGTGCCACAGGCAGGGACTTAGCCCGCTGTGCCACAGCGCCAGTCCCCACTGTAGCCCTTGCTGAGTAACAAATGACCCCCAGCCCCAGCAGTGTGAAGCAGTGGACATTTGCTGTCTCACTGTTCCTGTAGATCTGCACGTGGCTTCGCTGGGTGCCTGTGACTTAGGGTCTCTCACGGCCACTTCCAGGCCCCACTCAGTCTGCTGTGGGCTCGAGGTGGCGGGGCCTCCCCATAGGGTGGCTCACAACAGCGCTCCCGTCAGAGCCAGCAGGGGAGCCTCAGCACCTGATCTCAGAAGTGACAGCCCATGCCTCCTGCTGCATGCTGTGGGTTAGCGGGAGGCACCGGATGCAGCCCGTGCCGCGGGGTCGGGAGGCCGGGGCCACCCGCCCCACAGGCCAGAACCCAGCTGAGCCGGGCCCTCCTTTCTGCGGCTGTGTGCTATTCCAGTTCATTGAAAGAATTTTTGTTTCATGAACAAAAAGGAATTCATGCATTCATCTTTTGATGTTTTTTTTTTTCCCCCAGAAAAAGCAAATGAATTGCTGCTTTTGTATTCTCCCATCTGTTTCTGGTACTTTAAAGTTTTATCAACTTGATCACATTTGGGAAGTTTGGTAAATGGGACACTGATGTCTCTTCACCCTTCAGAATCATTTAAGGGAGTCTGTCCCACAGTTACAGGAGAGAAAGGCCTTGCTTTTAGGAGACAGACATTGGCGTACTTTGAAAAGCTTATGGAAAATGGAATTAGAAGATGTTTATTTTGGTGCAAAAAATTGTTTTGAGATGCACACAGTTTTCAACAGATGCATTTACCCTGAAGTTGTTCTTTGGTTGTTTTGTTTGTTTTTAAAGATGTGCTTATTTATTTGAAAGGCAGAGTTAAAGAGAGGCAGAGAGGCAGAGAGAGAGAGAGAGAGAGAGAGAGAGAGAGGTCTTCCATCTGCTGATTCATTCCCCAGATGGCCTCAATGGCTGGAGCTGTGCTGATCCAAAGCCAGGAGCTTCCTCTGGGTCTCCCACGTGGGTGCAGGGGCCCAAGGACTTGGGCCATCTTCTTTTTGGGCCTGCTTTTTCAGGCCATAGCAGAGAGCTGGATCAGAAGTGGAGCAGCCAGGACTCAAACCAGTGCCCCTGTGGGATGCCAGCACTGCCGATGGCAGCTTGACCCGCTACACTGCAGCGCCGGTCCCTACCCTGAAGTTTGTGAAGTACTTTCATGTCTGAGGCTAAAGAACGTGATGCCTGCAGCTTGCTCTCAGATGGTCCTGAAAATGTGATTTGTGGAGAAGGATGAAGCCGTTGGGGAGACATGGGAGCCGCTGGTAAACCTGACTTGGTATCCGCGACTCCTACGCACCATGCTTGCATCAAAGCTAAAATGTTGAGAAAAAATTCCTAGACTTGTACTAAGGGGGGCTTGCGGGTGGGGCCTGGGAGACTGGTTTTATGAAAGCACCTCTGGTGCATTCTGAATGCCACTCAGCACCACGTGAGCACGCGGGTGGGGCATTCAAGCTTCCGGGGGAAGTGGAATGCAAAGGTTGTGTGCATCTGCCATGAGCTCTTTGAAGACCTCTCTGCCTCATTCCGCTCTCCCAGCTGTGTCTGCACGGAGCGCCAGCCATTGCCAGCTGAACTTCTCTGGGTAGCAGAGGTTATCCCCCGATACAGTGCCGGGCTCTTCTCCGGCCGCGCAGCTGGCCTCTCTGAGGGCCTGGGGTCTTTATCGCAGCCAGGAGCCCCACGGGGCAGCTGAGGGGGGAAAGGAGCCCTCCCGGCAGCGTGTGTATGTGTGAGAGTTAAAAGGTAGAGGCAGCAGCTTCAGTGGAGCTGTGCCTGCGTCCTCCTCCCTCAACTCCTTTCCGCTCAGTCCAGGGCTCCGCCAGGTCTCCGAGACAGCAAGACCCGTGGACAAGGCCCACGTCAGCCCCTTCACCAGGCCTGTGTGTAGAGGGCACAGCCCAGTGGGAGCACAATGTGAGGCCCGCAGGCTGAGGAGGGTCATGGGAGATGTCACCCTTGCATTGTGCCTTTTATTTTTCAAAACGATTTATTTATTTATTTGGAAGTTAGAGACAGAGATCTTCCATCCACTGGATCACTCCCCAAATGGCCACCATGACTGGGTTGGACCAGGCCCAAGACGACTTGCCTCATGTTCTGCTGCCTTCCCGGGTGCATTAGCAGGGGGCTGGATTGGAAGTGGAGCAGCCATATGGGATGCTGACTTCAGATCGGCCCAGGCCAGGGCTGTGACTAACCTGCTGCACCACAGCACAGGGCACCACAGCACAGGCCCCTCTGCCTTGATGGGTTTCTGCGAAGCCATGAGACTCAGAAAAGGGAGACCCCACCCACCCACCCAAAATGAGAGCCCTGCTGCTACTTCAGTGCCCCAGGCTGGGAGTGGGGGCTGTGGTTGCCCCTGAGTGCCCTGCACAGGGCCCTGCCCTGGGGAAGGACTGGGAGAGGAGACCCCAGAGGGTGCTCAGGTTCCACACCATGTGTCAGCCTGGGGACCCCAGGAGGCGGCATCGCAGCCCAGTGCTGGGGGCCCGGGGCTCTGCTGCCTGATGGAGAAGCCTTCTGCAGAGGACTGGCTGGCAGAATTCCTTTCCCCAGCGTGTCAGTGCCGGGTGAGCACTTGTCCCTACCGAGGGTTTTTTTGGGAGGTGGCTGTCCTCGTGTTGCATGGAGGCCTCCCCACACCTGCCGCACCCCGCCGCTGTTCCGTTTTGTTCCATTTCCGTCTCGTGTGTGTTCTCCTCAGTGGCCAGCGGTCACCTCCTCCAAGCCCAGGCCATCTGGCCACTGGGCTGTGCACATGCGGGGACTGACTGACAGCACTGCACCTCTGAGGACCCTGAGGACGTCCCACACCTGACGGCGCTGCCTCCGTGAATGTGGGTGTGGTAGAGCTGACCCCCGAGCCCGGCTGATCACTCATGATGGATGTTCAGCTCTCACTCACAATGGCTTCCAGCCCCTGTGGGGAAGAACTTTTACTGGGGTGCATCAAAGGGCAGTAGGACAGATACCCAAAGCCCGGGACAGTTGCATGCTTATTAATTTGGGGCAGAGTTGGTTGATTGACTTGTCCAAAATGACTTACGGAAGTACCGGTTGGCTTCCCCCTCCTGGAGGTACATAGGTAACACCGAATCAGCTCCGAGCTCTGCTAGGTGACGCAGAATCACGCCACCCAAACCCGGCCACGTGCTCCTCAAACATTCCTCCCGTGTCCTGACACACCGGCCAGCAGGTCATTCAGGGTGACTGCTTCTGGGGATCCCGCTAGCAAACAGCGTGTCTCTGTGCTGTCGTGGCTCCACACGAGAAAGCAGCAGTAGCGTTAGAGGACGGACTGAAGAGCTAAAGCCGTACTTAACACAGCAGCTACTATGTGGATCAGCTCAGGTCTCTAAAAAGCAAAGCGAGCAGGTAGCGTTCTGACGCCCAGGTGTTGTGACTTCGGGTAGTGACGTGTTGTCTGCAGGTCTCAGCGCGTGGGCAGGATTGCAGTGGCCGGCAGC